AAAGAATTTCTGGCCATCTTCTCCAACTTAAAACTGAATGAAAATGAGTTAACATTGTGCAGTTCACCTTTTCAATAATAGTGTGAATAAAGCGCTGCCAATCTATGTTACTGATCTCTACCACAGTATGGTCCTGAAAACAAAATATGCCAACATTGAAATACCAGAATTCTATAAATATCTCAGAGGTAGTTAACCTACATGTAAATCCAATTATAATCTATATTCTGAAGTACTTAAATTTTAGAACAAAGTAAATAACCCTTATTTTTATTTTCAACTACAATGTGGTCTCTATATCAATTTTTTAAGATTTACTGATACTTTATTACCTAGGACACTCAATTTTCATGTGTTTCCTCTGTACTTAATTGGGAAATTAATTGGGAAATTAGATTATTTAACAAAGTACAGGTTACCAAATGTGTCAAGTTTATTAGTCTTACTGAATATTTGATCTGTTAATTCCCTGAGTATGTTAACAATCTCCCTATGTGACTGCATATTTGCCCATTTTCCCATGAAATTGTTTTATATAAAACATACATTCATAAATATATGCTGTATTGTTAGATACTTGCAAGTTTAGAGTTGCTGGACATTCCAAATTAATTTAAATGCTTAGCATTTTTTAGTGACCACGTTTATCCTTTATAATGCATCCCCCCCACATCTATTTAATTGGATTTAAATGAAGTCCCGTTAATTGGACAGCAATACAGCAAGCTATCTTTTCACTGTATTTACCTGATTTTTTTTTATCCTTTTATATCTTTTATAATTTTGATATATTTCTTCTAAATGTCATAGAGTCAGAATTTCTGCATCCTCAACCCAAAGTCTGCCTTTTCATTGGTGTACTGAATCCATTTACATTTGAGATATTGGGACTTATTTTTAAGATTTCATTTTATTCTTTCAAAATATGTGCTTTTAAATGTTTTTTTTCCTTTCTTTTATTCTTTCTTTTGGAGCTTAAAGGATGTATTTGTCAGGATCAAGGCTAAGCTGTGGTAACAAAGAGTCTTTAAGATAAGTACCTTCAGGAGCATCCATGTCAACTTCTCTCGTGAAGCATTTCAGAAGCGGGCTGGGCTTGCAGAGCAAGGCTGCAGCATCAAGGCCGGGAAGTAAGTCGGCCACACGCAGTCACACGGGAGCCCACGAGGGTAGACCGGTTCTGACCGTCTGTCATCTCTGATATTTAGCTTCTGTGTTTGCCTACCATGTGATCACCCTGGTTGCTGAAAGGAAAACAGACAGAAAGGAAAACAAAGAGCTTCCTTTTAAAAAGACTATCTGGCTGCACACATCATTTCTACCTCCACGGCTGTAGCAAAGGCTGTTACAGGGACACACTTACCTGCACAAGCAACTGGGAAATGTGGTCTCTGGTGAGAGTGAGACACATGCTCAGCTAAAATGCAAGATATTCTGTCACCAAAAAGAAGAAAGCGAGAGAGGATTGTGTCAATAACACTTTCGGTCTTATTACTCATTACATATTGGTTCAATAATATAATTCTATCTTGCTCTTATTTTTATCTCCTCATGAGATCATAGTTGGTGTTACTATTTTACAACCAATTGTTATTTAGATTTACCCACATGGTTGCTAATTTTTTGCTTATCATTTCTTTTTGCCTCTTAGTCCTTCCTTTTGGGTTCAATTTCACCATTCTTTTTTTTTTTTTTAAGATTTTATTTATTTGACAGAGAGAGACACAGCAAGAGAGGAAACACAAGCAGGGGGAGTGGGAGGGGAGGGAGAAGCAGGCTTCCTGCCCAGCAGGGAGCCCGATGCAGGGCTTGATCCCAGGATCCCAGGATCATGACCTGAGCCGAAGGCAGACGCTTAACGACTGAGCCCCCCCAGGCGCCCCTCAATTTCACTATTCTTGAAGAACATTGTATTAGCTATCTATCGCTGCATAACAAACTGCTCCAAAGGATAATGAGTGGGAACAACATTTACGATGTTTCTGGATCTGGGGTGGCTTCGCTGGGCCCTCTGCTTCAGGGTCCCTTAGAGGCCACAGTCAGGGTGTCAGCTGGGGATTCAGTCATCTCAAGGCCCCACTGAAGAAGGAGCTGCTTCCCAGACCACTCACATGGTTGTCGACAGGATTCAGTTCTTCGTGACTGGATAACCAGACGAAAGTCTCAGTTCCTTGCTGGCTGTTTGCTAGAGGCTGTCCTTAGTTCTTTGCCATGTGAGTGTCCCCAACCCGCAGCTTCTTCATCAAAGCATGTAAACCAAGTGGGCAACAGAGGAAGGAAGAGAACCAGCAAGACAGAAATCACAGTCTTTTGTAACATAATGCACAAGTGACATTCCATCATTTTTGCTGTATTCTATTTGTTAGAAGCAATCACTAGGTCCGGCCCACACTCAAGAAGAGGGGATTACATCTAGGTGTGAGTCCCAGCAGGTGGGGCTCACGGGAGCCATGTCAGAAGCCGCCTACCAAATACACTCTTTATATAAGTTCTTTCAGTGAGTTTGAGACCAGTAGCTCTATTAATTTTTGTTGGTTTAAAAATGTCTTAAACGTCTTCCTTTCAGTCTCATTCTCTTTCCTTCTGGGACTCCAAACAGAAGTGTGTTAGACCATGTGATATTATCGTCTGACAGCCCAATGATGCCATGTTCTTATGTTTTTCTAGTCTTTTTTCTCTTTGAATGTCATTCTGGAAACTTTCTATTGCTATGTTTTCAGGTTCACTGATCTTTGCTTCTGTGGTGTTATTGACTTCTAACCTTTTGTACATTTAGACATTTAGAACACTTCCAATCAGAGGAAAAACAGCATGGAAATCTGATTAATATTTAAACCAAACAATACAGAAAATATCACGTTTCAAACTCTTGACATAGCCAAACACACTACTTAGAGGAAACTTAAATATTTAGAAAAATTAAATACTTCTTTTAAAAATCAAATTGAAAATTAATAAACTAAGTATCTAGATCAATAAGTTAGAAAAAGAACAAACAAGTAATCCCAAGAACATAGGATGGAACAAATCATAAAGATAAATGAATAAGGACACCTGGATGGCTCAGTAGGTACAGTGTGTGATTCTTGATCTCTGGCTTGTGAGTTTGAACTCCACACTGGGTGTAGAGACCACTAAAAAATAAAATCTTTAAAAAAAATGAATAAGATTAGGAGTGCCTGCGGTGGCTCAGTCGTTAAGCGTCTGCCTTCGGCTCAGGTCATGATCCCAGGGTCCTGGGATCGAGCCCCGATTCGGGCTCCCTGCTCAGCGGGAAGCCTGCTTCTCCCTCTCCCACTCCCCCTGCTTGTGTTCCCTCTCTTGCTGTGTCTCTGTCAAATGAATAAATAAAATCTTTAAAAAAAAATGAGCAAGATTAGAAAACAAAGATATAGCACAGAAAACCACTGTCCAAACCTGTTATCTGAAAAGACCAATAAAACAAAGTTTTGCTAAGATTATTCAAAGAAAAAAGACTCAGAAAATAATATAAGAAATATGAAAAAAGGGTGCCTGGGTGGCTCAGTCGTTAAGCGTCTGCCTTCGGCTCAGGTCATGATCCCAGGGGCTGGGATCAAGCCCCACATAGAGCTCCCTGCTCCGCGGGAAGCCTGCTTCTCCCTCTCCCGCGCCCCCTGCTTGTGTTCCCTCTCTCTCTGTCAAATAAATGAATAAAATCTTTAAAAAAAAGAAATATGAAAAAACTCAGAAAATAATATAAGAATTATGAAATGTAGTTATAGATATATCAGAGATTTTTTTTTTTAAAAGGTGACACTAGGAAAAAATTTATGCCAACAGATTTTGAAAATCTAGGTGAAATATACTATTTATTAGAAAATTATAACTTTTTTTTAAAGGGGGGGTAGGGCAGAGAGAGAATCTAAGTTCCATGCCCAGTGTGGAGCCTGACAAGGGGCTCAATCTCACCACACTGAGATCACGATTTTGAGCTGAAATCAAGAGTCAGATGCTTAACTGACTGAGCTACCCAGGCGCCCGAGAAGATTATAACTTTTAAATCAGCTTTTGAGTAAAGAGAAAACATGAATAAACCTGTAAGTACAGCAGATAAATAAAGGGAAACAAGCCTTTATCCTGCCTTTCCCATACAGGTTCCGAGGAGATCTGAATAGAAGATGAAGGCAGATCTGTCTAGAGAAGTAGTCTAGGTGATCAATGAAAGAATGATAGGATTAGAACACCTGCATTTTGCAACCCCAAGTGAACTGTTCATCACCCGTGGCTAACGTGACAAAAAAAGACAACCAACTATTAACATTTGAAGGACACATTAAAAAGTTAAGAAGTACATAAAAAGTAATCTTAACAAAGAAACGGGACTTGAAACTGAGCAAGTCACTTGATCCAAGCTCTTATTTGCATGTAACAATTTAATTGTAAGCTGTGACAGAGGGATTTCTAGTGTGTAAGGCTCCCAAAGATGCATGTGTCAGAGAATGGTTCCTCCAAGGACTGGAGTCCTGGAGACCGGTTCTAAGTCAGCCAGGTTCAGGCTGCCAACATAACCTGCAGAGGAGAAAGGCATGATACGGGACTGATGGGCAGTGGAAGGCAGAGCTTGAGGGGGGTGGTGTGTCCGGCTGAGCAGTTTGTTTTACGCTATAAATAAATGGTGATAAAATGTCACTCAAGGATATTCATCAAGAAAGTAACAGAATCATACCAGTATTTTAATGGGATCAGCCTACTAGCAGTATGGAGGCTGTCTTAGAGCAAGACAAGACTGCAGGCAGGAAGGTCAATTAATTTAAATATCAATTATATCTTTATATTTAGGAAATATATCAGTATCATCAGCCATATTAATAAATCACCTGGGGGTGGGGTAATTTCTTGTGGTGAAATATACTTAGGTCTAATTTTGTATTCTTTTTAAAAAATTTAGGTAATTGCTGACCTTATTGCTAAATTATAGGGACCCTGTAGAATCTAAAGCATCTACTATCGAATATAGAGTTGAAAAATGTGACATGTAAATACACATTAATAATATATAATAATAGGGATACCTGGATGGCTAAGTCAGTTAACTGTCCGACTCCTGATTTCAGCTCAGGTCATGATCTCCGGGTTGTGAGATTGAGTACCGTGTCAGGCTCTGCATTGGGCATGGAGTCTGCTTGAGACTCTCTCTCTCCCTCTGACCTCCCTCCTGCCTCCCCCTCCTTAAAAAAAAAATATATATATATATATATATATATAATAAAATTATACCTATTCATAATAAAATATAATAAGAAGAATAAAAATATCATTTCTTGTGTTTATGCCCTGGACTTGGGACCAAGAAGACCTAGATTTACAGTTTGGATCTACAACTCACTAGCAGTATGATTCCAGGAAAACTACCACTGGGCACCTCCGTTTCATCCGTAAAATAAGAGGGGAAGGATTATTTTCTTCACTGCTGTGTCTGTAGCACGCGCATGGTGATCTACACATTGCTTATGTCAATAAATATTTTTTGATTAAAGGCATTTATTGACTAAAGGCATGTCTACTCTACAGAGTTGCTGTGATAACGAAAGGAGATAGACATTGTGAAAGTTCCTAACACAGCTCTTAACGGACACATTAAATGGCCGCTTTGTGCCAGGCATTATGCCAGGTGCTGGGCAGACGAAGATGAGTAAGATAGCATCCTTACTTCGGGGGGGCTTCTGCCTAGAGGGGCTACGTAAAGTATGTACGATGGAGCACACAGTACCATGAAGTGCAGAGTAGGGGCTCAATAAACACCAAATCTGAATTTTTATGACACTTTTCAGTTTACAGAGCACCCTCATGAACATTACTCTATTTGAAATAACAGGTACTATCAGTTTTACAAGAATAGACAGAGGTCTTAAGCATTCAGCAGAGGGGAAGGATGATCGGTTGGGATAAACAGGCACAACTTCATGGGAAAGACATAATTTGAAAAGCTTCAAAATATGGACAGATTTTGACAGGAATGACAGATGGAGAGATGGAAGTTTTTTGTTTTTTAAATAAGCTCCAAGCCCAGGGTTGGCCTTGAACTCATGACCCTGAGATTAGGAGTCATATGCTCTAAGGACTGAGCCAGCCAGGTGCCCTGGGGATGGGAGTTTTAGAAGGTGGAGAAATACATAAATCCCCTCTGCAATACTGCTGAATTGATATTTGTAATCTTTGGAATCAAGCCTTATCCATCTTTGAAAATCCAGAGTCCGTTTTTTCCATCTTTAATTTTCAGGTACATGCTTCAGGCACTGTCATGATGACTAATGGAAGTTACACGACAACATTCATTTATTCACAAATATTTACTGCCCACTTGATATGCTCAGAGCCCTGTGACTGGTAGTATGAGGGCTACTAAGATGAACAACGTACATGAGCTCCCCACGAGGCACAAAGCTGGAAGCACTATAGCCCAGCTGAAGCTGATCTGTTGAGAGAGAACATTTGCATTCCCTGCCCCTCCTATTTTCTTCCTACAATTAATTCATCTCACTTTGAAGATCTGATCTTACAAAAAAAAAAACGAACTGTTCTTTACAATTCCTCTTTCCGACTACCTGTCAGGTCTGTTGTGCCCTTTCCAGCCTGAAAGGCTTTCTCTTTATGGGAAGATTTAGACGATTTGGGAGCCAAACGACTGCCCTCCTTCTGCCCTCAGGCTCCATGCCCAGCACACCTCGTTTCGAGAAAGTTTACTCAGGTCTGTGCTTTCTTGTCCTGCATATTCTTTGAAGTATCTTTTACTGCGTTCGGCACATCCGCAAAACCCACTTGCCTACGATCTTTAGCGTCTTTAAAGATGGCTTTAGGGAGGGGGCCCGAGGGGTTACCACAGTAACGTTCGTGACGCACCAGGCAGGCCACTGTGCGTCTTTTCTGTGACCCTCAGAACGGCCCTGGAGCCCGGAACATCTTATCGGCGTGTCAGTGCTTTGGAAACCGTGATCCTCGAGGACGGTAACTCACCCAAGGTCTCGGAGCTCCGCGGAGGCCGACCTTGGATTTGAACATTGCTACTTCTGACCTCAAAGCCCATGTTCTTTCCACCACAACGGATCAATCCTGATAACGTGTATTTTTAATTTCGTCTCCCTTGCGTTTTGTAGAAACCCCTAAGGAAAAAAAATTCGGTTCATCGAAAAGTTTCCAAACACATGGATTTCATGTGCTGAACACGCATTCATTTACCCCGGATTATTACCTGCTTTCTCCGGTATGCCCGAGCTTATTCATTACTGCGACCTTTATAACTGCAAGGCCACGGGTGCTCCTCTGTGTGTCACGCCTTTGGCGCCGTGACATTTCCCACCGTCCCTGTTTGACAAGGCCCAGACTTCATTTTTCCCTCTAATCTGAACTCCGGGACGGTAACTGCCCACGTTGGTTTTTGTTTTGAACAGGGAGAAGGCGAGAGGCGTGAGGAACATTAGAGGTTTCGTCACCCGCGGGTCGTTCCACCTCAACTTTCCGTCAGACGTCCGGCTGCCTCCGAGACCTCGTCGCTCCCGCGCGCCCACGGCGGACGGAGCGGCACGGCGCAGGCCAACCTGCTCGGTGGGTGCGTGCGCCCCGCGCTCAGCCCCGCCCCCTCGAGGCCACACCCGCCCGGGAGGCGTGGGAACGGGCAGGGGGCGGCGCTGCGCTTGGGGTGCCGCCGGGCTTATAGGTCACCCGGAAGGCGCGCGCAGCCTGCGGCCGCCGCACGGAACGAGCCCTCGCCGGGACCCCAGCTGCCGCGCTCCTCCCCGCGGGCCCCCGGGCGTCCGGCGCCGGCGCAGCGGCCTGTTCGCGCTCGCCGAGCCTCTCGCGGCCGCTGCCGTGCGGCCTCCGTCGCTTCCGGTTGTTACCCGACCACCGGCTATGGCCGCCGCCGGGGGCGCCCGGCTCCTGCGCGCCGCGTCCGCGGCTCTAGGCGGCGCGGCCCGCCGTTGGCAGGTCGTCGCCGGACCCCGCGCGGCACCGGGCCGGGGCGGCGGCGCGGGGGGGCTGGCCCGGACGCTGAGCGTGTCGGCGCCGGCGCGGAGCAGGTGAGGCGCGGCCCGCAGTGCGCATGCGGGCGGGGGGGTCCCCCGGCGCCGCGGCCCGCAGTGCGCATGCGGGCGGGGGT